GATTCTATGATTCTATGATTCTATGATTCTATGATTCTAAGATCCAGCCTACATCGTAGCTACTTTCAATGTTCATTAAATAACCACCAGACAATGTTACATTTCACAAGTTTTTGATTGCATCATGCCGTTTTTAAAAGGCAATGTTCAATTATCATAGCTAATGATAAACTGATTATGAAACCGTAAAAATAATGAATCAGATATTACCAATATTTCCACAGCATGGGTGAAAATGCACATACATATCAGACAAAATTAAAACAGCAGTAGGGGACGACAAAATGAAAAAAGAAAGCTATCAGCAGTATGAGTTATAAATAAAACAATTTGCAAAACAATTTGAAGATGACTGAATTAAGAACATTGAAAATAAGATGACCAAGTAGAAATCTCATTAAATCTTCTTCAAAACACTGTACACTTTTGCACCTAAAGTTTTCAGTCAAAATCCTGCTCTATGATATTCAGCATATGCTCTGATGCTTTATTCCATAACCACTGTATTGTACTGTATAAATTATTTAATCATGCTTTACAAGCTATGTAAAGCCTGTATGCCAGGAATCTGTGTGCGTAACCATTCTGTATTTAAACAAACAGAAAAGCCACTACAGAAAATCTTGCCTTCTCAAACAAGTAAAATGTGGTTTCAAATCTCATTTTTTTTTTCACCCTCCTCTTACAGGATCACAACAACAGCTGCTTGCATGATGGATCTACGCAGATATCCTCTGGATGAACAAAATTGCACACTAGAAATTGAAAGTTGTAAGTTACTGGAGGGAGAGGGTTGGCCAAATGACAGCTGTGGATTGAAAGACATTCACGGGTTAGGTAAAACAGGAGCAAGTTGTTCAAATACTGTGTGTCCAGTGAGCTTGCACACTGAACATACCCAATATATTTCTGTAATACATAAGCCAAAATATGTTTAATTCACAATATTTGGCTGATCCAAACATGTAAGATGTCTTTCAAAATCTCTTGTCAAGGAAGGGAGAAGAGTATTTCTTGATGATTAGATCAGAGGACAGCAACCGAGCACTGTCCACCTTCAGTGCCTAATCACCACAGGACCTGAATGAATTACTTCACCTCAGTGCATTCATCTCTAACATCAAGATTAACATCTGCCCCACATGGTGGTGGGAGGATTGATCGATTACTCTTACCAAAACACTTGGAGGTTATAAAAGGAAACAACTTGATCCTTCAGCACCAAGGTTAATGAGAGCTTTGCCGTTATCTTCCATGAGCATAGGATCAAGGCGTGCAGTTGCAAATTTTTGTCATTAACATAGTTTTTATATCTTTTATGATGCTAGCCTTTAAAGAAATGCCTATCAAGGCTTTTGAAAAGAATTTCTATTCTGTCATTGGTCAAACCAGCTGCTGCCACTGACCACAGAGCAATCTGTCTAAACAAACTAGTTAAGACTACATAGAGTCCAAGACAAAATAATGCAGCAGTTTTCTAAGAACTTCCACTTACCACATTACAACTGTTGCACTTAGACTTAAATTATTTTTTATTAGAATAATACTTATCTCTAAAGTATCAGGTTCTAGAAAGGATTAACAGATTTCCCCAAATCCATTATTTTGGTTCAGTTACTGAAGAGAAAGAACAGTTTTAGCGTTTGAACTTCCGTTTTGATAGATAGTTTGAAGTATTAAATAAACAGAGAAACAAGCTGATCCGGGACTAAGGGTTCTTCCTTACCTATCAAAGTCATTTCCTAATACCTATGTCATCAACAAAACCAATGTTTTCATTGTTTGTAGCACCTCCCATTCAAGGAACTAAAAGTTATCAGAAGTCCAGTAAGTAGTTTTCATTCTGCAGAAACTCATAATATAAGATTTTGCTCTGGACTGAAAAGGGGTTAAATTCCCAAGATCCTCACAACATCAATTTTCAAAAGGATTCTATTAGTCTTCAGTTTTTTAGATTTGACAAAGAAAAACATTTTCATAGTGCCAAAACAATGGAATATTCACATATTAAAAGTTTAATGGTATTGTAACAAAAATATAAAATAAATAAGTCTAAACCAAAGAAGACAAAATCACTTTGAGGCTTCGAAATTGTTGCTGGGAAAGATTTCAGTTTATTCTGAACTGCAGAGGTTTTCATCAGTTGACTATACGTAAATGTAATATATCTCAACTGATCTGTGCGGTGGTGATTGTCAGGCACTGAGAAAACCCTACAGTCAGTCTAGAGCACTGATGAGAGACAAGACAAGCTCTCAGCCCAATGTTTATACTTGTTTATAATTTCTACTTGATGGCACCAGAATTATGCCTTATTTAAAGCATTGAAATGGGCACATACCTTCAAAATTACTCTCCATAATGAAGTATTTTGGGTTTTGTAAGTACATAATCAATATCAGTCTTAATATAAATCAGTGGAGGTGCAGCTTTTCTTGCAAATGTTTCCCCAAGAATTATTCGCTTTTGCTCCTTTTTCTGGAATGTCATTTTACAGTGATTTTAGAAATTCTCTGCTAGGTTGAGAACAACAAACTTTTTATTCCACCAGCAAAAGATTTCAATCAAGTAAACATTCACAGTAGGCTTAATGGAAATTATTTTTACTGGAGATCATTGTCTGAACAGAACCTGCTCATTTATTTCTTTAGAGATTCAAAAAAGGTGTTTTTTATTTTTACGGTCCTAGTGTTTTGGCACTGCAGGCAGACATCTTGGAAAGAGAAGCAGGGAGACAGTGTTGTCAAGGTTCCCCATGAAGCACCCCAATAGCTGCAGTCCCGAGTCACCACAATAGCTTATTCTCTGTTCACCATTCAACACGCACAAGGAAGTCTCAGGAAGGACATACTGGTTATGCACCATAGTAAACCCCCCCCCAACAGATGCAGTAGCGTGGCAAGCTGGGCCAAGCCAATGTGCATGTAATGAACACTTGTGTTAGACCAACATGCATCAACCTTCCTTGTACATCTGCTTTCAGTTAGCCTGTCTGTATCTACATTGCTCTGAGTTGACTGGAGCACCACAAACCCACGCCCCTGTGTACAAACACATATACAGCCATTTTCTTCTCATTCCCAAGAAGCAGAGGCAGTAGGCAATTTTAGCTTCCTTTTCCAGTGCTGCCTGTCACCCTACTGATCTTACCAGTTACTTTCTGCTAGTGCAAAACTCTGGCCGAGTCTCATAATCCACCACCTTATAGGACCTACAGAGCCGCTCATTAAGCTGCATGATTGTCATATGCATCCTTGGGCTTTTCAGTTCCCTGCCTTTTTTGGCACAAAACAGTTTTCTTGATGTTGCTTGCTGCTGCTTGGCTCATCTTCTGTCTTAAACTTAACAGGGCATGCGATGGATGCGTTTGGAGAATGAGTCATTTCTTGATTTTCAAAATAAAGTGCATAACACATCTCTTCAGTAACTTTCCTACCTGATCACCAGAGGAAATGAATATATATACAGTACCACAGCAACCAAAATGGGCGACTTCATACTGAAGTTGCCTTCATATTGAATTCATACCTGAATTTATTTGTTGGGAGATAGCTGAACTGAAGTCTCCTGCCCAATCATGACTAAAGCTGATCAAAGTACATGCGCATTTGTCAGCTAGCAGCCCAAATAACAAAGCCAGACTGACACTTGGCTGGCTTATACCTCTTTATTCACAAGCTTTCACATAAATGAAGCTTTGTAGAGATGAATGCTCAGTGTAAATGGACTTAGATACTACCACTGAGACCTCATCAAGAATCAAAATTAGCATCAGATGGAATAAGCAATTAAAAAGCTAACACAATCAGGGATGAGAGAATACCATGTCAGCCATGTGGCCAGTCACACATCCCCAAAAGAAAATTGCTTTTCAGACCTTTTGAACACTTGCTATAAATAATTCATGTCTCCAAAGATATATATGTTGATATGTTAATACTTGTTGAGCCAATCCAAAGAAATCAACAAAATTTTCATTCACAATTTGCCAACAGGTCAAAATTGGCAGAGTGCATTACTTCTCAGGAATATTTAGATCAGTTCTCCTAACAACTGAATGATTTTCCAAAAGCACAAACATGCTTACCTGCTACCGAAAGCCCACAGGCAGTAGATGTGTCAGCAGCACTGGCATCTTTGACAATCCTCCACCTAAAATATACCTTCTAATGCACCACAGCTTTTCTCCTCTACATGTCTAAAACTCTTGAAAGTTTATTGTTCATGTACCTGGCAGAAGAACACAGTCTGGAGACCAGGTTGCCTACTTCTCTCTTAGGCATTTGAGTACAAGTAAGCCAGTTGTCCTGAGTACTCAGTACTTGGTAGTACCCATTAATCTCCTTGAAAGCTACCAGGGGGCAAAGTGGAGAGGGTGAATAAGGAGGTAATAACTGTGACAACCGCCTCTCTGTTAGTGCCACATACATTAGACATGTGACGTTTTCTTCCATGACAGAACCAGTTTATGAGATTCCCACCCTAAACCTCTCCTTCCAGCTCCTGCATCGCACTTCAGCTATTCAGCTTTCTGTTGTGCCAGTACGCAAATCTTCACAGAGCTAGGATGAAAATCAAATTGTTAACATTTTCTTGGTCAAAAAAATATCCCTTTGAAAGAAAGGCTTACCCACCTCAATTTTGGGAGAGACAGGAATTAAATAAACCCCAGGGCAGAGCTGTTCCTTTAATAAAAGGTCCAGGGAAGATGGTACTGTAATCACTAAGCAATCCTGGAACTGCCTGGGTAACAGCAAGTAACATCTCTCACCGCTAGACAGATACTGTGCACTACATGCACTGGTAGACCATTTTCAAAGCACTGGAAAGTGGTTTTGTTCAGTTTTGTACTGTGTACAGTTAAATGGTTTAACCCATGTGGCACCAACTTCCAGAGCAGTACGGTTCGTGGAAACCATCACTGAATGATAATCACTACTTTGAGGAGATGTGTCCCAGCTCAAGTGCATCTACACCAATGCACGCAGCATGGGCGGCAAGCAGGAGGAGCTGGAAGCCATCGTTAACAGTAACATTGACCTTGTTTTAATCCTTTGTCTCTTAACAGCTTTTTTACCCTTGGTGCTGCCAGTAATCATGCAGGCTTGTTGCATGCAGAAAGAAAACAATAAATGAAATTAAACACGTAGACAGAAAAAGGACCTGTATGGATCTGTAAATCTATGCAATACTAATCATCCTGAATCTAGTAGCTCTCAGCAGCACGTAATCTGACATAGAAGTAACATGTCTGATCTTCAGCTGGTGAAAACTGGCATGGCTCCATTTTTGTTGATTAAACCACCGCAACTCACATTAACTGAGAATCCTCCCTGTCTGCTTTTTTATTAGTTGTTTCAAATGTTTGTTCCACGTGGATGACCCTTTCCTCAGCCCCACCCTTTAAATTAGATCTGATCAGCAGAAACACTGTAAATTAACTCAGAAATTAAGATAAATGCTTATGAGGAGAGTTCAATGCCTGTAGAAAACACACATAACAATTTTGAATTTAAGCAAAAAGACAAAGGCTGAATAATAAACCAAATCAAAGGTCTGTATGGGCATGTAAAATATCTATCCTGCATTTAAACAGGAGTAGTTATTAAACTGATCTCCACTCTTCTGCAGATGTAAATGCATGGCTCACATGGAGGTGCATACCTGCAGGTGCAATCACAAGCAGTATGACTGTGCAATAGAAACAGCAAGAAAAGCCTAACAGTTAAACCAATGCTGAGACACTAGACCATGGCCAAGATGGATCATGT